GTTTATCTTTATTTCAAATCAATCTAATTTTTAATTATATTTTATTTTAAAAATTAAAATTAACTAATCCTTATTTCGTCACTTTTGTAATAATTCTCCTTATCTAATTGTCTAAAGTGCTTCATGACCGTGATTAATTTTTATTATCTAAGATACTTTAATTTAAAGGTTTGAATCTTTCCTTTTCATCTAATGGTAATTAAATTTGTTATTGCAATTCTATTTTCATCTCTTTAAAGATCAATTTCTATGGTTTCTCATATGACCTCTTTCATTTCAATTTTCTTTTCCCTTTTTGTTATTATAAAAAAGGGGAGTTAATATTATTTTTTTGTTTTTGTTTTTATTTTGTTTTTATGTAGTATGTGTTATTTATGTTGTATGTGTATGTTGTATGTATTTGTTTATGTTGTATGTGTTTTTTTTTTTTTGCTATTTGCTAAAAAAAAAAATTGATTGTGTTCTTCATGGAATTTTCCTTTGTTTTCATGTTCATTTTTTTAGGGGGAGCTAAGTAGAAATTTATGGTATACATGTTTACTCAAATAATATTTATTTTGCTATCATAAAAAAGGAGGAGATTATTGAGATAGTTGTAACCTAGTTTTTGCTTATTATTATTCTTGGAACATGTATATTTTTTATTATTCTAAATATTATTATTTTGATTATTATTTCTTCTAACATATTTTGGATGCATTATTTTGTTGTTTGTATGAACTAACATTTCAGGGAAATCATACTTTGAATTATTGAAGACTTTAAATAAGATCATTTTAGGGTTTATTGGAAATGAAGTATGTATTTCTCATTTTATTAAGTCTGAGAGAGTGTAATTGTAATTGAGTAACTGTGCACACACATACCAGTGGAGAGTTTAAAATCTACAATTTTTAAATTGATCGTACTGTATGAAGTCTTTTCGTACGGGACGATTTATTCAGTTATTTTGTCTTATGAGTAGTCAAACGAATAGAAAGTAGAAAATTTTTCTAAGTATGGATTGTATTGTACGATATATCATTCGTATGTACACCATCCAGAGTACGAATTTGACGGGTCGCTTTTCATCCCAACGAATTCAATATTTGTTTGAACTGTTCGTACCGTAGGATGTCGTCATTGTACGTACGCCGTCCAGGGTACGAATTGGACGGGTCCCTTTTTGTCTAAATGAATGTGAAAAATTTCTAAATGGTTCATATCATACGATGTCATCATCGTATCTACGCCGTCTAAGGTATAAGCTAGACGAGTCCCTTTTTATCCTAACGAACTTAAAAATTTTCGTAACTGACCATATTGTACGATGTTATCATCATATGTATGCCATCTAGGGTATGAAATTATGGGGTCCCTCTTCGTTCTGATGAAGATAAAAAAATTTCTAACTTTCTTATAATACGAACATACGATCATCGTGTACAAAAGTATTTCATAGCGATTCACATAAGGTTCATACGCAACAGCTTTTAAACTATTTATACATATAAACATATGATCGTGTACCCTCAAAATGGAATATTTTAGTTTTCTAGACTATTTTTCATGTCTTTGATATAAAACGTTCACTAAAACTGATGTGAAAAAGTCTTGTCATCATGAATATTCAAGAGCAAGTGAAAGAGAGTATGTGAGAGTGTTTGAGAGAGATTTCTTGTAAGTGGAGTGTGAAAGATTCAAATGGTTACTCAAAGGTAAGGATCTCTTTGAGTTTTTGGTGATTGCTCTTCTTTTTTTCTTTCTAGTTGCTCATAAAAATATCTTTGAAGAAGATCCAGTACTCTGGCGACACTTAAAGGGTGTGAAAAAATAATGGTACTTTGCCGACACTTGGAGGGTGTGAACAGACGACAGTACTCTCACGACATATTGAGGGTGTGAACTAACGACGGTACTCTACCGATACTTGGAGGGTGTGAAAGGATGATGGTTCTCTACCGCATCGAGGATTTGTGGAAGAGAGTTTTATAAAGGCTTCTTGGCCTTACCATAGGGGCAAAAGGAGAGTTACTTTGGTAATAGTATAATACCTAAAGAGGGAGTCTTCAGGGAATGGATGTATGTCGTGTTTTACTTAACCACTATAAATCTTTATGTCTTTTAATTTCTGCATTTATTTATTACAAGTTACTTACTGTGGTTGAAAAGTTTATTTTAAAACTTAAATTAACTTACTATGAGATTCAAAATGATTTTCTATTTAAAAATCTAAGAGAATTTTTTAAATAACCAATTCACCTCCCCCCCCCCTCTTGGTTAGCCTTGAGATAATAGCTTAGGTTTAACAACCTATTCATAATCAACAACTATGGCTCGTGAGCTTATTTGCAGTGTGACAAGTCGAGCCCGAGCTCTACTTTTGAGCTTGACTCGTGCTCGAGTTTGCATTCTAGCTGGTTTTCTGACTAACGATCTAAGCTCAATAAGGTCATTACTCGACTCGTTTATACCCATAAGTATAACATTTAGAATCTTCATGTTAGTTATATTTGGACGGTTTGGTTGGCTAAAAAAGGAATGTAGAGTAAAAAGTTTACAATGTAAAATAAATACTTTGGAGTTGTTTGCAAAAATATAAAATAAATATAGTTGAATATTTTTTTTTTGTTTAGTTAGAAATAAAGAATATAGTATAAAGTTCAAAGAAGGTGGAGGCAGGCGAGTGGCGACGGCAACCTTTGGTGGTGGTGGCTGGTGGCAAGTGTTAGGTAGTCGGTTGATGGTGGTGGTGCTCCATGGCTTGCAACAGATAGTAGTGGTAGTTGGAGGCAGCCGCCGACTAGGCTACAGTAGTTGGAGGTGATTGGGGACAAGGTGGCAGCTGTTAGCTGCAAGTTGGCAACGATTACATGTAGTAGTGGTTAGTATTGGGTAGCGATGGCGGATGACAGCGGAGGCGGTGGCCTCAAGTCAAACGAGCTTGCTTCTGGTGAACAATTCTCATTCAAAACTTGATGAGTTTGGTTTACTTAAAAAATGAACAAAAATGATTTATGCTATATTTACTTTACTTTGCAATCCTTTTTCATCCAATCAAACACCAATATTTTGAAAACTCTTACATTTGGAATACTTTACACTACTTATATTCCAAATAAATAGCCTCTTAATAAATATATAGACCCTACCTTATGTCATTCATAAATATAGTTATCCCATTAATGAGACAATTGACTTTAGAAAATATATTGTTATTGATGTGCGAGCAGGGTGTGGGTGTGTCTTTTCTTTTGTTACATTAGTGAACAATTTATGTATGAATAACTGTATACTTAGATTTTTTTATATGAATTGTCCTTTAGATACATAATTATACATGTTGATCAAGTAATAAAGTGAATGAGAGAGTGTCAATCCCACAAGAAAATGTTTTGCTAATTACAATCAAATTAGTAATGTCTATTATAGATGCAATATTTATCATACTAAATGAAAATTAAGGGTTTTGAGTTTGCCACTTACAGAGAAAAAGAAAAAATATAAATAAGATACTAGATATTTAGATTATTTTGAACTAATTGATAATTATAAATAATGTTATGGTTTATGTGTTAATTTATCAGTAAAAATGTGTTGTTTTTGTTGTGCTTGTGAAGCAAAATACATAAAATGTGCAAAAATTTTAAAATATTGTACAGCATCATGACGTTGGACACAATACCACCCTGACACCATCATTAACATCACCGGAGTGCCCAAATATGGACATAGCGACACCCAATATCTATTTGACAGCGCCTTAATATCAAAGGAGTCAGTGCCACAAAGCCCATCCAACTATCCCAGCGTAGCAATGTCAAAGGAGTCAGCACCGCAAATCACAGTGCCGCGATGCCAAATTCCTATGCTGCTAATTCAAGGGAGAGCTATGTGGACATCACAATGCTAAACCATCAGTAGCACCGCAGCGCTACAGTTATAACTGTTCAGGCCACGATCTGCCAGTGAAGCGACGCTTTGACTAATTAAGTAGCGCGTTCATGACAACATGCACTACAACAAAGGAAACCCTTCAGCGCTATGGTGTTAATTCATTTTATTGGCACTACAAGTGTCTCAAGCGCCACGGGCCCATAACCCATTTTCTATGTTTTTCTATAAATAGTATTTTTTAATGTCAGTATGATAGTTCAGTCGCCTGCTTATTTTTAGTCTATATAGTGCTTCTCTAATATTTGTAAGTAAGCATTCTTTCTCATGGGATCTATACACTACTCTATCACTATATTACTTGATTTAGCATGTATACTTGTGTAAATTAAGTGGGAGCTTTTATACTTTTTATATCAAAGAAAATCTAATCATTGTTTAGGGATTAATAGAGCTCTAAATCATTTACACAATTTCTTAGGTTACTCTACCACCCTCATCAAGTTTTTGACACCATTGCCGGGGAAGAATTTATTTTATTTACAAATCTACTATATTGTTGAATCAATTATATATTTAGTCATACTATATCATTTTATTCTTTTATTTTAATTTATTGATTGCATATATATGGTTGTATGCTTATAAGATAAAGAGGGGAGGCACGCTTAAATTTTGATTTTGAAATTGAAAGAATGCTTTCTAAAAGTAGGCCCACCAAAAAAGATTTTAAAATGACTCGCCCTATTCAAAATTTTGATCATTCTAGAACTATTAAAAATTTTGCAAACCTTTAGTAGATGGAATTCACCAAAGCATTAATAGACCTTCTATCCAAGAAAATAATTTTGAATTAAAACCTACAATTATTCAAATTGTATTAAATTCTCAATTTGGAGGGCTCCCATTGAAGACCATAGCCTACATTTAGCAAGTTTCTTAAAAATTTGTGTAACATTTAAGTATAATGGTGTTAGTGATGATGCCATTAGACTTATATTATTCCTATTTTCTCTCATAGACAAAGCAAAAACATAGTTAAATTCTTTTCCCCAAGGTTTATTACCATATTGAATGAGTTGGCCCATAAATTTCTAGTAAAGTATTTTTTACCTTCTAAGACTGTCAAACTTAGAAATGATATTACTTTTTTACTCAATTAGAAGGAGAATCTATTTATGAGAGTTGGGAGATATTTAAGGAGATGCTTTGAAAGTGTCTTCAGCATAAATTACTTGATTGGTTGATAATTCAAATTTTTTATAATGGAATGGTAGGATCCCTTAAAGCCATAATTGATGATGCAGCTGAAAGTTCTTTGATGTCAAAGCCTTTTGAAGATAGTTTATGAATTATTGAAGAAATAACAACAAATATTTTTTAGTGGACTATTGAAAGAGGGAATCCTAAGATAGTGGATGGAATTTATGAAAATGATTCTTTATCTATTTAACTGCACAAGTTACATCAATATCAAAGAAATTGAGCACTTTAGGCTTAAAATTTGATTAATGTTTACATATTGAAGATAAAAACACAATGGAAGAAAATGATATCCCAGGGATTAAAAATATAAATTTGATTGGAAGATAAAATAATCTCTATTCAAATATATATAATCCAGGTCGAAGGAATCACCTAAATTTTAATTGGTCAAATAATAATGGTGGAAATCAATTGAATTCTGATTAAAATAACTAAGGCACAATGGAATAATCAAAATCAAGCTAATAAAATTCCAAAACTAGGATATCCTCCAAGATTTAATCAAATAAATTAGTAGGGAACTAGAAATTTACCACTACAAGTTGTGGTTATGCAATTGGGAACTCAATTATAAAACCAAGCTGCTTCAATTAAAATTTTGAAAACTTAACTAAGTCATCTTGCAATTTCTTTGAGTAATAGACCCATTGGATCTCTTTCTAACAAAATTGAAGTTAATCATAAAGAGAATGAAATATATACTAATAGTAATCATCTACCTTAGCCAAATAGAAAATCTGGGCAAGTCTAGCTGAAGACTATAAACTTAGAGCTGCTAGGGAGGCAACCCAATCTTAGGTCTAGTCAGTTATCTTGTCTGACTGAAGACTATAAACTTTGTACTTTTTGGGAGGCAACCTTATCCTCCAAATTAGGTTTTTTTTATATGCTTCACAAAAAAAAGCTTGAGATAGAAGAAGGGAGAGTCGCGATGCCATTCCTTTGAACACTACAATGCCCTGATGGGCCTTAATAATTGATATTTCAAAATTTTCAAACTTCTCTCCCATTAAAATCTATAAAACCAATTAGGAGGAAGTTCTTTTTTAAGTCCTTACTTACTCTTGAGTGAATATCATACTTTCTTCTATTCAAAATCAAAAGTCTAAGTAATGGGTAGAATAATGCATACATTATCTTCTTCAAAGAACCAAAATGAAAATCATATCAAGAATGATGATCTTTTTTCACTTCTCCACATGTAAAGTTCTGTCATTATTGCAATTTTGAAAGAATTAAAAAGGGAGTTGCATAATGATAAGAAGAAGTATATGGAAAAAATAAGGAAGATGCATAGTAGTAGAGTTTTATTTTATGATTTCTTTCTTGGGAAAAATGTGTTGCTATTTGATTATATGAAAAAGTATTGCCATTGGAAAATCAAATTTGGATGGATTGGTTCTTTCACTATTATTAAAATTTTTCTTAATGGTGTCATTAGGATACAATACACAAAAACTTTGCAAGCCATCAAAGTTAATGGGTATAGATTGAAACCATGTGCTTAGAGGAGTGAAGAATTCTTCAGAATGTGTATGCATTATTTTTGTTCTACTTTATTATTTTGTAAAATAAAAGAAAATAGTGGGAGATATTGGCTTTTATAGTCGAACTTAATTGAAAATTCCGACTTTTAGAGCCATTGTTAAACTTTAGGTGCGCTGTGCATTGGTTGTCTTATAACTATGTTAGGTTATTTCAACACATATTTTTTGCACTTATTATCATTCATATGAAAGCATGCATTTATACTATTTATTTGTGTTTATTTATATTTTAGCAAATTCTCTTCATGCATAAATTATAATTGTCCTCCAATTACTATTATATTTTGATTATTGAATTATTTGTTATAAAAATAATAATATATTTTTTTAAAAAAATTAGGATAATAATAAAATCCTAGATCCTAATTTAAATGAACTATGTTTATACTTCATAGGTTGGAAAAACTAATACTTTACTCATTCAATCATTTGATATATTATCCTAATTTGAATTTATAAGCTATACCTTTATTAATTTAACCTTTAAGAAATATAAAATGAATAATTATTATTAAAAACTAGATAAGAGTATATTAAAATTTTAATTCATAACTAACCTGAAGATGACTTTAGTAATCTTATCAAGTCCATACATTAAAATTATTAAGACTGTATGAGAATCTTAATAAAATGAGTATATTATTAAGACTGTAGCAGAAGCTCATATTCAAAATTATTAATTATGTACTCCATAAAATAAAAAAGTAAAAGAACTAAAAATAGTTCTTAAAAAAATAAATCATAAATGTCAAAAAGAAAAATATGAGTATATTAAAAAAATGGTATTAGTGAAAGCTTAAGATTTGAAATACATTCATATACAAGAATTATAAAGGATAAGATGAGAAAGAACTAATTCAAGGGATGGTCAACTAAAAAAAGTATAATTTTAAATACAACAATATCCAATTATTAAAACTAAATTATTTACTTCAACATTCAAAAGAAATAGATTAGATCTATAACCTAAAATTTTAAATTACATAAAAATAAGAATGATTGATTAAGTTTAACTATTGCTATTTTTCCAAACTAGAAGTATAGCTTTGATTCATTTTAACTAATTATAGATATTAATGTATTATCCTATACTTTAGTAATTTTTTATTATCACTTTTTATTTTGGTTAATCACTTAACTAGAATTAGAAACTTTTATTTGTTTGAAGAAAACCATGATTTTAAATTGGGGAGGATTTGATAAGTGTAAATAATACATTATTTTATGTGTTAATTTGTTAGTAAAAATATATTATTTTAGTTATATTTGTGTAGGAAAATATAAGAATTGGGAAAAATTGTTAAAGTATGATACAACGCCCTGACTTTGGATATAATAGCACCACGACGCCATCATTGATACTGTCGGAGCACCCAAATATGAACATTGCATGCCCAATCCATGTTTAACAACACCATAGTGTCGGAGGAGGCAGCACCGCAAAGCCCATCTAACAATCTGAGCTTCACAGGGTTGGAGTAGTCAGCGCCACAAAGCCTAGTCTTTTTTTGCACAGCATCATAGTGCCAAATTCTAGCACCGTTAAGTTAAGGGAGTGCCATGTTGATGACATAGCACTCAACCGTCAGTTATGCCATGGCACTATAATTATAATTATTTAGTATATGATCTGTCGGCGAAGTGATGCGTCAATTCATTAAATAGCGGGTTCATGTTAGCAAGCATAGTAGTGGAGGAAACCCTTTAGTGCTTCGACATTAGTTTATTTTATGGGCACTGTGGTGCAAGTGTCATGAGCGTTATGGTGCCTGAATCCATTTTCTATATTTTTCTATAAATAGTTTATATATAATATTGATTGGGCAACACAGTCACTTGTTTAATTTCAGTCTTTTTAATTCTTTTCTAATTTTTCCTTAGGGGTGACAACTAATGTAATTCAAAAAAGTACTAGATATATTCCATTAGAGTGTTTGGATTTTATTTATGGAAGAAATTCTGTAAGTCACGGAGGAGTTTAGAGGAGATCATTGACCATTCAATGATATCTTTTCTTCAGTACTTTTTTCTTTTTTGCAATTAATGAAAATAATATGTTTCACTTATTTTTTATGTCTGGCTAAATTCTTTGTTTCTGAATTGATGGTGTAAATAAAATATGAAGTAATAATGCATTTTTTTAATAAATAATTTTATGATGTTTTCAATAACACATATATTCATTTAATACACATAATGGCCAGATGTGTAGTTAACATCATGTGTAATGTTGAGCCTAGGAATAGGAAAGTAGGCAAAACCAAGTATGTTGGATTGGTATGATACAATCATATGCATAGTGCTTGTCATGTATCAAATTTATAAATATAAATTGTAATGAGGGGGTTTTAATAGTGTACACTTTACTCACTCTTCTAAGATTTTTATAGGGTGATAGACTATGTGAGTTTAGGGTGATATTGGGTTTTAATAGTACACGCTTTAGTTACTCTTCACACTTAACTAAGCGGTTAATGATGCATATGCTCTGAATAACATCAATATAAAAGAGAATCATTAGGAAATATATTATATTTATATTTCATCAATATGAAATCATTTAACTTAATAGTGTTTCATTTAAGTTTTTTTATTTTAAATTAAGTGATTGAATCTTCACCAAATCTTATTTTTTTCTAATAGGATAATTATTATAGTTGAAGTAGATAATACTAGTATTTGTAAGTAAATATTCTTCCTCGTGGGATCGATACGCTACTCTATCATTATATTAATTGATTTGGCTCATATACTTTTTCATATTAAGTGGGTTTTTATAATTTTATACCAAAGAAAACATCAACATTATTTAGGGATTGATAGAGTATTTAATCATTTTTATAATTCATTAGGTTTTTCCACCGCCAGCATCACTACGGTATATAGAACAGCAAAGTTTTTTCTAATAAAACTCTTAAATATTTATATGGATTAGAGCAAATACATCTCTAGATATCTGTCAAACTTGTATGGGTAAAAATAAAGGTTTATGATCTTCTTTTAATTCTAATGTCTCTAAAGAACCTAAAAAGTTAAACATCATGCATCTAGGCATGCCAACATTTTATTCTAATACTCATATTTATTTTTATATTTCTTTGACAATACAATATATGATAGTATATATCAATTATATACGTAGTCATTATATGCATTAAATTAAGAATGAGATATATTAAAAATATCCATAATTTCATTCAAGGCCTAAGATTCGATATTATTACTAGCTATGTTTTGACTAAATTAGCCTGAAACTTAGAAATTAGCCATATATGAAAAAGATGGAAGGCAAACACATCTTTAATTCAATCATAAAAGAAAAGATAAATGAGAAATAGTAAGAAAAAAAAATTTACCATGACGGTACAAATGAAATTCTCCACACTACTTCTTCCTCCAATGGTAAGATTGGTTACATAA